TCTTTTTCCGTAGACGTTACTCAGGAGTGACTCATTGAACAACTTATGACGCTAAAAAAATGAAACGGCAAAAATAAATTTGCACGGACCCACCGTAAGAAAAAACAAAATAGACGGATTCGAAGTATTAGAGGTTACAACTGCTAATGAAGTGAGAAAAAACTGATTTAATGATTGGAGAACTGTATTTTACACTGTATATTAATTCTAATTTTAATTTTCTTGAATGACTTTTGCCAAGCTGGAGATGCTTTTGTTAGTTCAGTGTGAAGTTCAATTTTAACATAAGGTTGTCTTCAGCTGGGTCATTGATATCTTCAATTTTCTTAAAATTCCTACAGTATATAGCTTCTGTAATTGAAGAAGGACAAGCATGGAGGCATACTGTCAGTAATGAATGGAAGAAGCTCGATTGGCAGGCCTAATGGCGAGAAAAATTGATCAACATCTTGCAGATATTATAGTAGCTAGAACAATAAAGGTCACGTGATTTTTCGAGAACATTTATGGTTTACATTGAAAGCCACTTAAAAACCAGTATTTCTTCAGGCAAGACGATATAGAATTGCCCAATATACAAAGAAGTAGGGAAATCATTGTATCTTGCCATGGCTTCACTTTAGTAATGTGATGCACATTTGTCAGTAGAAACTAGATCACTCGGTGGATTATTCTCCTGTACTTTCATGTTCAGTTTCTGGGGTACTCAAGTAATGGAGTCTATGCAGATGTTCATGCTACTCATTGTGCAATTTCCTCATATTGAGAACAAATAAAATTTGGCGACAAGCCAAACTAAAAGATGTCTGCGCAAGACTAAGCTGCTTGTGTGGTGCAGTTTTTCGGCCTGAACGCACTGCGGACCTATTCACTGCCGCATTGGGTACCAAAATATTTCACGTTACTGCGTTAGGTTTATAGCATCGATACAACATTAAAGGTCAATTTGCTTTTTCTCTTATAATTATTTCTATAGGCAGCCATGCAGATGCAAGACAGAAATTTACACAAACAGCTGTTAGCAATGCGTTGCAGCATCTCTGGACTCAAAGACGAGCTTAAAAACGAACGAGAAAGATGCGAAATACATCCAGATCAAAAACGTTCGCCTTATACGGATCTCGTCCAACGCAAAGCGCCGTCGTACGGGACAACAAATCGTCTTTTTCGCTTCCAATCGCATTTGGCGCACTCACAAGACACGGCAGTATGCCAGTCATGTATCATGGTGGAAGA